ATTCTGATAGAAATTAAGACGGGTTAAGCAGTTTTCATCTATAATCGTACCTCCCAGTCCCGTATGTTTTATTCCTTTTCAGGAAAAAGACCAAATAAGAGGAGTAATCAAGTGCTCGAGACTTCATACTTCAAAGCTCAAACACTTGGGGGACTATATAATATACATAGACATATATATAAAGAAGGCAAAGAAGATTGAGAAATAATCAAAGTTCAAGTCAAAGCCCGAAAAGTTTACTCATTGAATGAGTCAAGTGCAGAGCAAAGTTACGAGCCAATAACATAAAGCCAAAGAAAACTTTATCATAGTTAGGTTAAGGGCAATGTATATAAATGGGTTATAAATAAAAACCTTGTGTTTTATTTTCTTTGCCTTGAAATCTGTTGTAAAGAAAACGGTTACGAAAAAGTTATATAGGTTATTTAAATATATGTAAGATGTTATTTAAAACTTTGCAAAGTTCAAATGAAAACTTTATCAAAGTTATTTCAAGAAACATGTGTATTCCTATTTCTTTTATCGTACATTTACACCATTATGAAGTTGAGACATCTTCTTCATTAAGTGTCGAATATAAAAGGGCCCTCTTTTATAAAATTCATGTTAGGGTTAAACATTCATGAAAATAAGAAAGCATTTTATGAAATAAAAGTGCAAATTATTCAATAAGTCCTTAAATATAAAGGCAAGAATGAGCAAAACAGAAGTTCAAAATAACTAAGTTAAAATAGAAAACTTCTTAATATTGAAAAGTTTAGACTAAGTATGAACTTAGTCATAAACTATGAGTCACTTATACAAAACTCCCCAAAAAAAGGTCTGGGGACTTGATGTTTTCAACAAACCCTCAAATGGGACCAAGGGCTATAACCACATTCCACCAAAAAAGAAAAAAAAAGGAGTCACATATCATAAACTTGTCACTGAGGAGTTGAAGAAGGAACCAAAGCAGGGTCACCAGCAGCAGTAGACTCAAGTTGACTTGAAGGAGTTGGAACACTCACCGTACCCATATCATCTTCAATATGTTTAGAAGTTTCAGCCACGAGAGAGGGAAAGTCTTGGCCTTGCTGAGTCTTTTCAATAGTTTCTCTTATTTTAGCTAACTCATCTTCCAAGTTAAAGTTCTCTTGACTAACTTCCACAAGGGTATCATGGCGAGTATTTAAAAACGCCCAACTCACTTCAATTGCGGTCTTGTCCTCAAGAATCTCATAATCTTTCTCCCATTCAACAATTTCACTTTTAAGCTTCTCATTCTCAGCCAAGGCAGAATCATAAGAAGTTTGAAGAGAAGCACGTGAGCTTTCTAAGGAACGAACCTTATCAGAAAACTCCCGGAGGTCTTCTTGAGTCTGAGTCTAAGTTTGCACAAGTTCACTGGCATACACTTCTTTCTCACTTAAGAGAGCCTTCAACTCTTTGATCTCTTCACTAGCCTTGGAGAGTTGCTCGGAAAAAGATGTTTCGAGAAAAATTCTTGTCTTTCCTGGCTTGGTTTGAGGAAGGTTTTTCAACCGCCAACTCTGAAGTTAAAACCCTCAACTGCTGCTCTAAGGTGCACTTGCTTTCTTATAACACTTCCATGTCAATTTGAAGGCTTTCATATTGTTCTCTCCAGTTGTCTGCTTCAATTTGATACTCATGGATTAATTGCTCCGTGTGGGAAACTCTCTTCATCATTTCTGTACCAACGAGGTTGATCTAAAAAAAAGAGAAAGGGTAAGAACCATAATGGAAGAAAGAAATAGTAAATCATTAAAAGGAATACCTTTAATGATGATTGTATTATGTCGTTCATCCAAGTTAAAGAGTTGTGGCTCTCAAGCTTGGCTCTCTCGATTGGACCAATTAAGGGTTTCAACCACACATCAACCCCACCTGATTTTCTCAAAAGATTACCATCGGTAGGAACCTCGATGATAACTTGTTTCATAGCTCCACTTCCACTTGAGAAACCAACCTCAGTATGTTGAATAATTGTTGGAGGAACTGTGGAAGGAGTCAAAACAACCTAGGGTGGAGCAGCAATGGCAACAATCACGGCTAGTAGAGAAGATGTCACAAGGATAGACATGGAAAATGAGGCAAGGGGCACTTCATCAGAAACTGGACCCAAACTTTCATTTCCAAACCCACGAGCAAAAAGTTGATCAACAGAATCACGAGCAGCCGCGGGAGTATCGTCACCAGAAATCACCAGGGTGGCTTTAATAGGCTCGGTTAAAGGAACAAAACGAGGGGGAGATGCTTCATCATCTGAAATAACGCGTATTCTAGCCCGTGGCCTTTTTACCAAAGAAGCCCCATCTTATTCTTCCTCTTCTTCAGAGTTTTGACCAGTAGTAGCTTTTCTTTTCGATGAAGAACCCAAAATTATTTCTTGGGCCCTTTCCAAAGAAATTCTGGAAGCTACAATGTCCTCAGCGGTTATGCCTCGAATGGGAAATCCTAACAAAAATAAGGATTAAAATAATTTCTAAGGAAAGAAGTGAACGAAAATACAAAAGATATAGAGAAGAAAGCACTTACCGTGAGTTTTCACTTTCCAACCAAACCGATGAGAAAGGTTTTTCCAGGATCTACCTTCCATCGGAGCAACACTTAACAGCTTTCCTACCCAACCACGGAAATTGAGAATTTCATCAACAACTCCCATGGTTGCTAAAAAACAAGAGGAAATTGAAATGACAACCATCAAAATTGAGAAAAAGGTATGAGAAAGTTATAAAAAAAACTCACGTGCAAAATTCTACTTCTCAGGAAAGGGAACATTCTCTTCACCCACTAAACCAACAGTGAGGGCAGCAACAAACCTGGCATACCAGCCACGGTCCTTATCGTCTTCTGAACTGACCAGAACTCTTTTACTTCTTGCTACTAAAGTAAAGATTCCTTGATGAAAAAGTTTGGGAGAATAGAGATGGATCAAATTAAAGAACGTAAAAGGCATGCCAGCCATGTTGGCCAAATGCCTCAAGCAAGCAACAACCCTCCACACGATGTGGCCAATTTGTCCTAAGCAAACATCGAAAAAGCGACAGAATTCGATGATAACAGGGTCAATAGCAGGTTTGAAATTCAACGTGAAAGGGTATGTATAAACAAAAGAAAACCCAGTTAAATAAGAAGTGATTCTTTGGTTTGCATTAGTGATTATAATGGGGAAGTCATGACTCCAATGGCAATCTCTACGAACTACAGAAATCAGACCTTCGGTGATCTGAGTCAGGTAAATGTCAGCACGATCTAATGAAGACATTTGGTTTCTGATGGACTCTCTATCATTGTAAAAAGATAGTTCAGCAGGAACAATTTCATCCACTAAAAGTTCACAAAGGGGTTCAGTGGGTTCTTTAGTCTTACATGAAAATCTTTGAGAAAGAGAACCTCTGGTTCTAGAAGGTGGAGTAGAACTCGATGAAAGAATAGAGGGCCCTCGTGAGGAAGAAGATCCTAAACTACGAAGTCTGCCACCTCTCCTACTTCTAACAGGAGCAAAAGAAAGATTCTCAACGATGAGGACTCTCTGAGGGTTAGGGTTTGAAGAAGACATAGTAGTACGAGGAAAAAGAAAACAAGAATTGAATATTCTAAACCTTTTGTGAGAAAGACAAAGGTGAAAAGTTATATTTATAGCCAGAAGCAATCGTCAAAGGAAAAGATGCAATGATGGAAACGTCATAATGAGAACTGACGTTTCGTAATTGGTGAAGCCGTAAAAAAGCCTTAAAAGACGCTCAAAACTTGCAGAACCAAATAGGAGATGCCACGTGTCACGAACATTAAATGGAAGTGACTGACGAAGAGTCAGTTCTAGAGAAGAATTAATGGCAGCAAATATTCCCGCTTTAATGAGATCCACTTCCCAAATATTCTATTGATGAATAAATGGCAAGTGGGGGGACTATCTGTATTGGGAAAAGTTAAGTTCATATATAGAATTTATTGCAAGATGACACGTCATGACACGTGGACCAGTCAAAGGATGATAGTTGGCAAAGAATAATCAAAGAGGCACGGGCAGATATTCAAGAAAAACAAGAAAGATAGACGCTCGAACCTCTTTATGATTGAAGAGAATGAATCTGATAGTAAATAAGGTATAGATACGTATTACCGGGCATTAAATACGGAAAACGTTAGGGAATCTGTATTGAATCAAATATGATTACCAATTATAACGTTACATTAATTGTCAATAATGACTCTATAATGGTAGAAACAAAACATATTACCTAGAGATAGCTATAAAAGGAGAAGACTGATCATTTCTAAAGACACGAAATACTATTGAAATATATTGATTTACTTTGCACTATATTCAGTTATTATTTGTCAATTATTCTTATTTCTATTCGATTATCAGTAACCCGAGTTATTCTAAAATAAGCTTTGACCGAAATCCCAATTTTTTATCAAACAATGTGTGCATACAAAAGATGGTGTATAGAAAAAGGGTGTGAAGATAGATGTAGGTGATGATTTTTAATGGGTGCTTCATTTTATAACCAGTACTCGGAAGCCATTCTTCTCTTTATCATTGCAAAAGAATAGGGGAAAAATAGGTTTTTACTGGGAAGAAGAAAACATTATCATTAAGAAGATACTACTCTTTAAGATTCTCCATTACTATACATAATGTACAAAGCAAGTTTAATGGAAACTATTCGTTACAAAAAGAGAACCACCCCTCTCTCTCAATTCCTTCCAAGTCGTTTGTTTAACACACAGTAAATTAAAAGAGGACAATTTTTTTCTACTCTATCTTGTCTTCTTTTTTTGTCAATTTGAATTTATAAATAACTGTACAACCAAAATTTCTAATAAATATTCGATTAAAGCAAAATCCAGGAAAAGCAAAGCCAGTTTCCCAATGAAACGATAGAAATTAGATAGCAATAACCAATAGGGTAGTTCCAACATTTCAAGGCTCGCTAGTTGCAATTTATGAATTGGATAAAATTTAGCACTGTGGCCAATGAAATAGCATATTTTTCAACCTTTAAGTATCAAGAGAATTTACAAGCTAACACGACTGTACAGTTGATGCACATTCTATACATAAAAGAAGTTATAAGGAGAAAAGGGTAGCCTGTCCTGAGTGAGTGATCCATTTTGAAAATTGACCTAAAGAATAATCAGACAGACATAAGTCGTCCAAATCTAAAATTGACCCAAACAAGGATAACATATAACTGCACATATAATCCTTGCAATCCAAGAGAGCATTGTCCAGACTATAAATTAAAGTTGTAACTTTGAATTCACTGATAAAGCTTCCTCCTGTCTAATACTAGAATTGGACTAAAATTTCCCACGCAATCATGATATCGGGGTCGACCGCTCCCCTACTGCCGGAAACTTTTGCTGCATACACAAAGACAATAGGTCATACACTGATAGTAAAACTTCATAAGGTCTACTAAGGTAATAGATCTTTTCAAAAGAGAATAGTAGTTCATAACCTGACATCCTTTTTTCATTTTATAGGGACGGATAACTAAATTAACAAAATCAGCACTGAGGGAGAGATATGTAGATAGAGCATCGACTACCTTTCTTACAACTAGTAATGGATTCTATAGAGTTAAAATCATATACATCTTGCTTTTTATACCAAAAAGCTTACAACAATGCAAGGGCGGTGGTTCACCGAATTTAGCAGCCTAAAATCGAATTTTAATAAGAATCTAAATTTTATACACCTATACAAGTATATGCAAAAAATTTGATATTGTCTTTTTTTTTCCTTCTGTACTTATTTATATAATAGTATTTATACAAGATATATGACTTTTAGCTTTATTTAGTAATATTATTATTTATATTATCAAGGGTTAATTCAAGTTAATAAGATGTTAGCCATATGTTTGCAATACATTACCTTGGATCTTGATGTAAAAAACTTTATTTGCTAATACGAAGATTTGAGTAGTTTAATTCGAAGTTCTAGAATATTTCTTATGTTAAATAGTAAATATTCTTTATTTTTTTAAAACCTTTTTACCCGGATATTATACTTTTTTTCTACAAAGTTCAAAATTGTCTCAGTCAAAATATTATTACGTATTTTACCATTAACACTTTTTGGGGCCTCAAAATTTTTGGGGCCTAAAGCAAAGGCTTTACTAGCCTCACCCTTGAATGCAACAATGCAATACATTATAAGGTCCATCTCAGTCAAAAATCATATGCATCTTAATTTTACACCAAAAAGCTAGATTTAGCAAACATGTATATTTTATACTACTATGTAATGCCTCTGCTCTTCATTCAAAACAGCTCCGATTTCTTCTTTCCAAACAGTACAAATGATACACAAAGGAACTGCTCTCCAGATCTTCCTAAATTGCATCCTTAATCTACTACTAGTAGTCTTCTCTTTGGTGTCCTAACTCCTAATCATATCTTCCACTCATTTCTTCAATCTGTTTGCTCTCCTGAATTTATACTCGTATTACTAGGAGATTTGACATTTATTCCTGAAATATCTTAATAAAACGGCCAATTTAATACCTAAACTACTAAAATTTCTATTGTCCATCTCTTCTCTTGTAACAATTTATTTCAGAGGAAGCAAACATGTAGATACCAAAACTTGCAACATTAGTAAAAGCATCCTTGTTATTTAAATTAAATGTTCCAGTACAAACTTGAAGAAAAATGTGTTCTCTCTCATCTGTAATGAGGTTCAGTATAAACGTACGTCTGAAAAAGGATAGTTTTAAAAATAACCAATGTTTTAGCATCTCAATTTCCTAATGGCAAAATACATAAGTTTGGCACCCGAACAATGGACCAAATCCCTGTTACACACTTTCTGTGGACACAAATAATATTACACACTCAACCTTTTAAAAGTGTGTCTAATACACACTGCTTTTTTCTTGACCACTTTACCTAAGTATGGGTAATGTCACGCACCAATAAAGTCGTGACACGTGTCATTAACATAATTAAATAAAACAAAAAATATAAAATTACACATACACCCTCATCTTCTCCAACCCCATCTCTTCCACCTCCATCTCCTCCTCCACGGACCACCCAAAAAATTAGAACACACAATTCAACCCAAAAATTAGGAGCCCAAGTGATTTAATCCCAGAAAGAAATAAAAACATCAAAAGCCAATAAGCCATGACTCACACCACCATATCATCACCACAACAAGGCAATTGTTAAAAAAAATGCAACAATGGCAAAGGTAGATTGAAAATTACAACTGCTTGGATATCATATCTATTGAAGCTTATCTACATCAACAAAGACATAAACGGACTATTTTCATTTATAGCTCTCTTCCAAAATTTTGTTTTTCATTTCCATGGCTGTCATCGCCACCACCAACTTTCAGAATAAAAAATTCAGCCTTCTCTTCAAAATAGATTGGAAGCTTGAGATTAATGCAAAATATGTATATTTAAGAGAAAATCAGAAAGAAAAAGAAAAAGAAGGGAGTTGGTGAGAGGAGGTGTTGGTTGGCGGAAGAGAGAGATAGAGGAAGGGTGGGGAAGATGAGGAGATTGCAGACACATGGCATAAAATAAATAATTAGACAGTATTTTTATTAGTAGACGCTTCTATCGTGGTGTTTTACACATGCTTAGTCCTGGTCAAAAGCGGTGTGTATTAGACACACTTTTAAAATGTTGAGTGTGTAATATTATTTGTGTCCACAAAAAGTGTGTAACAGAAATTTGGTCCATTGTTCGGGTGCCAACTTATGTATTTTGCCTTTCCTAATCTCTACATCTTTATACTGCTCAAAGAGAACATCTATAAACGGCATACAAAGAAAGGACAAGCTTAAAAGCTCCAATGGAATAAAGGGTATCTCTTTCTATGCAGAGTAGTTCTCTGCTAGCATAATAAATGCAAGTTCAGAGTTTTCATCTATCAAATGTCATCGTTAATCCAGTGGTGGACCCAAAATTTTAAGCAAGGGGTTCCAGTGAAAAATGACGTTAAAATAAGGGTGATTCTGGCAAGTGAGATTTGTGTCGCTCTTTTTTCGGATCATAATGCTACCAAAAAAATGAACAATTTTAAAAACTTGAGGTCGGCATTCGTTTTACTATTTTTTTTCTTAAAAAGTTGGGCAAGAAATATAAAACATTTAACAAAGATCATCAATTTAACTAAAAGTATTTAAGAATTTTTCTATTTAATTCACAATGTAATATCAACGAGCTTTCAAATTTGTTAAACTTGAACCGAAAAAGTTCTGTTTTACCAAATTATTTATCAGACTCTAATGAAATCTGACAAAATCTAAAATCTTTTTCTTATTGATAAGGAACAAAGTCGTTAATTCACAAACAAAAGACAAAATTAAAGTGAGTATAACTTAAAACAAACTAACACAGACTATAGAGAAGAGAGCTTATAGAGTAAATTAATAATTTCAATGTAACATAGAAAAAAAAGATTTGGTATAAACTAATTTAAGAGGAACTAACCTATTATAAATAATTACAATGATTGCACTTGCGTATTTTAGCAAAACTAATGTAAGATTTCACATTGTAGAAATTTTTGATCTTTTAAAGTAAAATAGAAGGTACAATTAACTTACCTGATCAAAAAAAAAAGAAAGAAGGTACAATAGCTCCTTTTGGATTTGAGTAGAAAAACTAAGTATAAAATAAAATAGAAAACAAAGTAGTAGAAAATAGAGATAAAAAAAAATTTAAAACACACTAAGGGGAGTAAGCTAATTAGCTAACAAGGCTATCTTCATAATTTAAAAAGAAAAAAAGAAAAAGGGAAAAGAAGAATAAACAAAAAGGCTAGCTTGCGAGAAATTTGCGACAATTAGGATTCGGATGCCCGACTAACATAAAAGTTTGAACTCAATTGACCATCTTTCCACAAGATCACCTTAGGTCAAGTGGATTCAATTAAAATTTATATCGATATTTTACAGAATTTAACTTATAATAAAATACCAAATTTTTTCGATGAAGCGGGTTTATTTGAACCCTCTTGACCCTACGTGGGTCCGCCCATGTGTCAATCAATTAACGCAGGATGATGATCAAGTTAAAATGGCCAAGCTTTCACCAAAATCAACTATGAGATGACTTCATTTATTTCTGCTTGGTATCAAAAGCACAAACTATTACCGTTGACTTAGCATGCATATTCTGACTAGACAAACTCAAGTAATTACCGGGGTAGCAAAGGATGAGCTGTGTGCAAGAAACTTGACAAACTCCTGCTTCTTTATTTCAAAGTTGAACTTTGCATGGTCCAGCAATGTTTGTTCTCTATGTAAATCTTCCAGAAATCTATCCCTTTTCCACTTCAGCTCTTTCAACCGGCTCTCAGTATCAAAATAGTTTTCAGGCAGATTTGACCTTCCGGAACTCTTTGGAAATTTGACCTCTACTTCACTTTACGCAAAAAGTACAAGAGAAAGAGAACCCAAAAGATTCAGTGATGCAATCAATAAAACAATAAAATATGCTGCATACTCAAATACATCTGATATATATATAATATATGCATATGAGAAGACTAAAATGCTAAATAACTGATAGAAGCCGTTCAGGTAACTTGAATTCAATTGTGGGCCACCAAGACAGTGTTAACTTTAGAAAAGGTATGCCATTTAAAAATCCATAAAATCCATCCGACCATCTACAGAAAGTAATAATTTCTTCACACCAAAAAAACAGCTGAAACAAACTGGTTAAGGCAAGGTATTGATTGGCAGCGTGTTCAAACAAACGGGTGATTTTCTTCCCCAGTTTTTTTTTTAATGGCAAAACATTTCAGTTGCTACAACCTCTATAACCCATAGAATATATAAAGGCACATAGCTCCATTGAGAAACTACAATGTAAAATAGTTTTTTTTTTTTTTTGAAATGGAACTTACTAACTGATGGGTTGAACAACAATGTAACAATAAATGACCGCATCCTCCCTCAGCATCTAACACATACAATACTGACTCACACACCCCAATGCATCTCGTCTTTGTTGTATGGATAGCCTCCCAAATCGCACACCACGTAAAGAATGCCACTTCTTAGGTGATTTAGTTTTCCATATTGATGCATCTGGCCTTCTCTAACTACCCCCGAGGGCCTGCGCAAGCGTCTGTATTGTGAGTTCACCAGAGAAATACTTGTTCCTGCTCTCCTAATCATTTTTTGTTCCTCCTATATTCCTGTAAGGATTCATCAACTTTATCCCATTCCAACTTGGAATATCTCCCAAGATACTAGATCCATCTCTTCTAAGCATTTTTGGCACGTTATCAACCATGATAGAGAAAGTTAAGCCTCACATCATACATCAAGCAGAAATGTATTGAATTACTACTGCCAACTCCAAATGGGAAAAATTGTGAAAACTCTTCTGCAGATAATTATATTATAGGTCATCTTTCCTGATTAACTACTAAAATGTGTTATAAACTCTTTTCTTCTTTCCTTTTTTCCTTTCAGGATAACTTATTCATTAAAGATAGCCTGTTAATCATTTTGAAATATACATGCAATAAACAAAAAATGTAACAAAGGCTACCTGCAGAAGCTTTTCTGTAGATGTAATGTAACAAACGAAGAACATGTTTTCATACACCATTCTAGACCGATTGAAAGAGGAAGTTCATGAAGGTTGAACTACTGAACTCCACAAGGCCAAGCAACGCGGTCACAAGGTCAAAAGTCAATAACACCAGCTTCCCAGTTAAGGCGCAAATTTATAGACCGGGTATATTACTTGACACTCAAAGAGGAACAAGTTTATAGGCAACCAATCCTTTAGGGTATCATCATCAAACAAGCTGAATTTAGAAAAAAATAAAAAAAAAATGAATGAAATACAGATATATCACTAGTTAAGAAAGCCTCTTTACCTGTTGCCTAGGGCAAATACACCATTACTCTTTATAATCCCACCATCCAAAGATATGGCTCCATGTGTTATGACAGTTAGTGCCTGCAGCATCTCTGTCCTTGTTTTGTATACTTGCAACCGTGAGAAGAGTTTATAGAAGAGAGTCTCTCTCAAGCCATGACCAGTGCTTGTAGCACAATATAAGTTCGCACTGTCAATATTGATCATATTAACAGCAAAACCAAGGAAACCAGGAGGAGTTTCCCCATTGGGCAATCTTGGCTTCATTAAAGCTAGCCTCCTCTGAGGGTCATCAGCAATGAATGCACCTTCATATGATCTAATTTATAACCCAAAAAAAAAAAGAATAAAAGAAAAATGGAAAGAGAGTAAAGAGGTGTTAAAGATAATCAGCAGTTGCAAGAAGAGATCATTTTAACCTCAAACCTTAAGTTCCCAAGACAGATAACAAGAAATCGGGCATCCAAAGCCCTACCAATTGAAGCTCCAAGGGCATAGAGACCAGAACTTTTGTTTATAAAACCTTCCTTATCATAAGTTTCCAGTGCTTTAATTCCATCAGGTTTCTTGCAAACAACTGCTAACATGGTTTCTAGCCCCAGATAATCTGAGAGCAACCTGCATTTCAGAGATTAAGATACAAATGTCAATCATGATACAGAACGAACTTCCATTATTTGCCTACTTCTTTAAACATCATGCTTCCATCATCTTCTGTTCACGAAATGCAGAGAATTACTCAGATTCTAACTCCTACATCACGCCAAGACCTATTTTCAAGCAAAGAGAAGCTTATTTTCATACACAAAAGAGTCTCAACATGCTAAGGCTTGTTTGGCAACTAGAACTTTTATGTTTCCCTTTTCTCCCCTTAAATTCTTACCATTCTCAAGAAAATGTTTCCCTTTCCCCTTAGAGAGGAACATAATGATGTGTTCGTATATGCTTTGACACTACATAGATGTGAAATGAAACCACGTTTGGAAGGAAAAAACATCTTCATCTACCCAAAGAAGAAGAAGAAAAAAATAAATCATCGCATGACAAAGAAGCAAGAGCTGTGATGGACTTAACCATGAGACGCCCCCGTAGCTAATCTGTTCCGTGATCTTAAACCATGCATGACTTGATATATATTTCCAGCTATACAATAAAAAGGCCCAAAAATAAGGATGTGCAAGAGACTCGATTTTTTTCTAGGTAAGTAAATGTAAAAAAGTGAGAGAGACTAGAGAATTTAATCAATAGTCAAAGCCCACTCTGATCTCTAGATCACCAGCAAGTCCTACACATTTTCTGATCAAATCTACATAAAAACTCATATAACCAAGTATGCCTATTACATGCAAAACATTCCTTTATGGTAGATGGGATCCGATTTGGACCAGAAAGCCTTCTGGTGACTCAGCACTGGAAATAGAAGGGTCTTTCACCATCGGCAAGGAGGAGGAGGAAGAAATTGAACGACAAGAGAGGAAGGGGGGAGGGGGNCCCTTTGTTTGGTAGTTGGCAGAAGTAAAAGGGTTTATCTTATTTAACTTCACAGTATCAACTGTAGGTAGTGGGATTCTAGTGGGCTGTTGTTGTATCAACTGTAGGTAGTGTTCCGAACAATGGGTTATCCCCAGATCAGTTTGTAAAAGCAAACGACAACAATAACAACAATAATAATAATAATAATAATATAATAGTAAATAATAATAATAATAATAATAATAACAATAATAATAATACTAATAATACTATTATGATCATACAAACACGTCTAATTAATCAGAAAATAATTAATGCAAACACATCTAAAATTTCTGGAAACAAAAATCCTTTTGGATACAAAATGAACCCAATGAAGAGACATTTAGCCTACTTCCATTTCCGTTTGTCTCGATTTACTTGACTATTTTCCTTGGAAGGTAAAATTTTAATTTCCTAGAATATATTATAAGCTAACATGTTATAATATTTGGAACATGTTCCTCTCTATTTTTGGACTAGCCTGGGTCAAGCCTAACAGCATCAAGGAAGCATATGAATGTTGGTGTTCATGGAGAGTTGGTAAATCCATCAAAAATATTTGGGTAATGGTACCTGCTGCTATCTTTTGGTGCATCTGGAATGAAAAGAACCGTAGATGTTTTGATGGGATCTCAACTCCAATCCATGTAGTCAAAGCAAAATGCTTATTGAATTTGTTTAGTTGGCTAAATCAGGCACCTGTAACTAGTTCTGTTCAATTTTTTGATTGTGTCTGCTCCTTAGTGATAGAATAGTTTTTTGTGTATATGAACAGACACCATCTCTCTTAATTGTAATCTTTTGCCTGCATCCGCTGGATGCTTTTAATGAATTCTCCTTACTTCATCAAAAAAAATATATTATAAGCTAACATAGATAATACCATATATTATCTTAGCCTTACAAATATCAACTTTCACTTCGACTATACCTGTGACAAATTCAAAGACCAGAACATAGTCAAACTTTCTGTCTTAACCTTCATGCAGCCACATGTCATCTTGATTGAGCGTGAATAAATGGTATAATTTCTAGAATATGGCTGGAGAAAACTAGCAGAGAATTTGGATTTAAGACAACAAAAAATCGTGGAACAGCTTCTTCTTTTTGGTAGAAAATGCAAGCAATTACTGGATGATATGTGAAAGTAACCTGCTGAGATTATCGTCATCAACCTTCCCAAGCAAAGCAACAATTCCTATCACGTCCTTCAGTAACGGAAGATGAGTAACCTGAGGTCCATGATGAGTTTTCAGCTGGCAATAGATGCCAGCTGCAGATTTATCATGTTTTAGAATTCGTTCAATGATCTCCTCTTCATTCCGCCTATTGGAAGATTCCTTATTTTCAGAACCAGGTTCACTTGCTGATTGATACCTGCCAAGAGCAACTACAGTACCACACAAGCACAAGAATTTAAAATTGAGAAACAGTGAAAAAAGGAATGCTAAAAAGGGAAAGACAAAATTAAACTGAATGCTATAGTACACATGGAGTACTTTCAAATAAGCAATACCCAACAATTAAACCCATGGAGAAGATATTAGGCCTCTGTCAGATCGTTTAAACAAGCTGATGGCCGACATTTCACGCTACAGGTAATCACAATATCCATATATACTTGAAACGTGAAACACAACCCTTGATATGAAGATCTTACCATGTTTGATTGTTCCCTTCCATAAAGACAAGCGTAAAAGCATAATATTCTAGGATACTGAAAATATCCATATATACTTGAAACGTGGAACACAACCGTTGATATGAAGATCTTACCATGTTTGATTTTTCCCTTCCATAAAGACAAGCGTAAAAGCATAATATTCTAGGATACTGAAAGAACAAAGTAACTACAGTGCCTTTTAAAAGTTTACACATGCATTTTGCAGCAACCTACTAAACATGAAAAGAAGGAAACAGTACCTTGTACAGAAGGAAACAGTACCTTGTGTGTCTAAAATTGAATCATCCAATATGTTCTTCTGAGCCTTTAAGAATTTGATATTATCTTCATGGTGTTTAATTTTTAGACCAATCTCCTGCATTGCATCTTGAAGTTTCTGCAGTAATTAAATGATATAATTATTAATATTGATCCATCTATTTCACAATAACTAAAAGTCCATTATTATCTCAAATAATCGCTGTAAATAGATATATCTATACCTAAAATCAAGATTATTGTGCATGTTCCATCCATGCATGATAAAATAAAATAACCTGTTCAGATATCTTTCATAATCTTAACAACCTTGGAATTGCAGATAACTGCCTCAGCAGCTCCATTTTGCATCGTGTCGCGGTCTCCAGCAAAAACAGAGGAATTAATCTGACCTCCTTGATTGAACTTTGGTGGATCATGCACAGCTAGTGCCTTAGGACTGATAGGTAGCTGGAATCAAAGAAAAATAAGAGCAAACATCAGTATTTAGAGTTGCTTATCAAGAAAAGATTAAACAAGTGGCTATTCATAATGCCCTAGAGTCTCCCTCCATATCTACCATGTAACAAGTACGACATGTAAATTGTACTTCAAGCCACTTTTTATCTTTGTTTCATTTAGGAGGAACATACAGTATACTTTCCTTCTGAAAATATATATTGAAGGTTGAACATGCATATTTCAAATACAGGATGCCAAAAGTTTCTGCAGCCGATATACCATAGATAGAAAGAGGTCTAGACTGATGCTGTAGTTTTAATTTAACAGCCCACATTTTTAGTAAATTTAGAGCACGTGATCAACTATTTAGCAATGGAAGACAAACTTGACTATTTCAGGTACTAGTGCAAATACTGGCTTCAACTTTAACAAATGAAAGTGCTTAGAAGCTAAGTCCCTCAAGGTTGCAGGTATGAAATTGAAATTGGTAAAGGGAAACGGCAAAGGGATTGATATTATTGTGTTCAGAAAGAAAAATGGTTCTCAAAATGAAAAATCTGCTCATAAGTGCATTCTCAAACTGTTTGAAGAGAAAGGACAACACAAATATAAAGTGAAAAAAGAAATGGTAGTAGGACTCTCAGGTTTCCACAGTCAAATAGCAAGCAGATGAATACCAGCAGACCAATATCCACCACCTAGACCCTTCCTAGCAACATCATAGCAAGTCACCGAAACCCTTAGCCAACCTCACTATTGCAGCATATCTTGCAGAAGATTACTCTCCTATATCCCAAGTGCGAGCAGTCAAATGGATTAGAAAAAACTAATAAAATAAGGCAGAGACTAAATAAAAATCTACGATATCTTGAATGCAGTCCTCAATTATTTCCCAACCACAAGATCAACTCCGGTTTACATGCCATTTTTTAAATAAGTACGCCTGTTTACATGCCACTACTAGACTTAACAAACACAAATACATTAAAACAAACTTGAGGACCTTCAATAATGTAATCGGATCCAATGTCAAAAAGAGCATGTTTGCTCCCGCAGATCAAGTTGGTTAGCGTGAAACTTGACAAAGTTTTTCCTCTTAGTTATATCCATTGTTGCTCTCTTCCGATGTGAATCTAAAAAGAAATACAACTGTCTTGTGCATCTAGCCTCTAGTAGTTCTTGAAAATTAATGCACAACTACAAGATAACTTGCAGCTTTGACAAAAGGTAACAAAGTACTAAAACAATTAAACAGAATACTTAAAGTGAACTGTCACATTCAGGCATGGGGATAAAACCAAAAGCATTTGGAAATCTTCAACTTTCCTCCAGGTGGCCTTCATTCTCAAAGAAGGCAGGCCCCAACTCCTTCGTTTGTTTCGTCCTAATTTCAGCTGGCAAATCTTCTCAATACAAGTTGATGGGCAATGTTTATTCAACTTGGCAGCCTCGTTAATGCCGCCAGTTTTGTTTGATTGCAAATGTCATCATCTAACTTAGGGCGTTATTATGGTGCAAGGACCACGTAGCACAGTCATTAGCAAGTCATGCAATGTTCCGGCAAAATGGGTGCAACAAGCGCATTTCTCTGATAAACTGTGATCTGAAGAATTAAATTAGGTCGTAGTCTGAAGATTCGTTATATTAAATGCAAAAAGAATTCGCCGGGAGACTGAATCCACCTATAAATTGACACTATCTTGAGTAGCATCTTTAAGATGTAGGTTTTAGAGTTAGGTTTACTGTTAGGTTATCAGTGAGATTATATAGTTAAAAAAGTCTCGAACCTTACACTTGAGCAAACCTCTCTCTGAGCTCCTTGTGAGTGTATTATCAGAGGTTATTCTCTCTCCTATTACTTTCAGATATTATTAGAGTGCCGTGTGTCGTCTCTAATTTTGTGCTCTCCTTGTAGCCATCACTAAAATAGTGAATTGCTTCTCTCAACTTGTGGACGTAGGTCTTATTGACCACCAACCATGGGTAAAATGTTTGTTATTTCTGACACCATCCTTAGTCAAGGGCTATTTTTAAGTTATTTTAATTCTTAGTGAATGAAAAGAAAAGGAACTCTGGTTCAAAAATGAAAGCGAAGCATAAAATTTCAGTACCTTGAGAGTCAATATATGGGCTAGAAAAAAAAGTGGTGGATTTTATGAGACTTTTCTCAAAGCTCAACCTTTAAAGAAAAAGCATCCCCCGGGCCCGCGCGCTCTTGCTTTGAAAATTCCCATTTCTGCTGGATCCTGACATCCTCCTTAATTCCTATGTGATCGTGAAATATATATATATGCAGTTGGATATCATAGAAGGTCGAGATCAGGTAAAATCTCTAACTGGAGCCCTAGATTCTCTGATTCATACTACATTTATGATACCTTAAGCTAGCAGCCAAAAAAAGCATCGAAATTCACAGGAGAATTGTATCAGAATACATGCATGACCTAATTTCCAGTGTCTATTAGCATTAATTAAGTGTTTTTATGGTTTATATGTCTTAGCCTCAAACTCTAACACAGAATGTGCGTTTTCAATAGAAGCAGCAGTCAAAGAGCCTTCAGCTCACTGAACAGTCTAAGGTAAACGAGACCAAAAAAAAGAGGAAAACTAGAGTACCTGCACGTTCTCGCCGTCTATGGACATTCTCCGTTGGTCGCCGGTCATCGTTGAGTCGACGGAGATTACGAGCAGACTGAGAAAGGCGGCAGTGCACAATGCGCGTGTGTTTTGACAGCAAAGAGAGAGAAACAGAGGAGGGATTGGGGCATGAAATGAAGGCCGTTTGGCTCTTATTCGTGCCTAAAAACTGACTCGTACGCTCTACACGTGTACAAATATTTCAAATTTGACATTTCATTTTTAACCTTTGTGAAAAAATTGGATTTTCGAAATCTTCTCTACACGTGTACATTTTCAAATACAACAACAACAACGACCCAGTAAAATCTCACAAGTGGGGTCTGGGGAGGGCAGTGTGTACGCAGACCTTACCCCTACCCGAAGGGGTAGAGAAGCTGTTTCCGAAAGACCCTCGGCTCAAGATAATAAAAAGACAAAATGAGAGAATATTAGATTCACCATGGAGATTATAGAAAACATAGGAACATAAAATGCAGAAAAGTGCAAAGCAAAAACGATGGCTAGTAAATGGATCATGCGTCGAAAAATAGAAAATAGTAAGACACGACATTGCCCCTAGCTATATTAGACAAAACCCTACCGTATTAGGCTCAGAAAGGTACAAAGTAACGCAAGACTCAACTACCTCCTAGCCTACAACCGTAATACTCGACCTCCACAACTTCCTATCAAGTGCCATGTCCTCGAAAATCTGAAGCCTCGCCATATCCTGCCTGATCACCTCTCCTCAATACTTCTTTGGCCGCCCTCTGCCTCATCTTGTGCCTTCCACAACCAGCCACTCACACCTCTTTACTAGAGCATCTGGGCTTCTCTGTTGTACATGCTCGAACCATCTGAGCTTCGCTTCCTGCATCTTGTCATCAATGGGAGCCACATATACATTCTCTCGAATATCATCATTCATAATCTTCTCCATCCTAGTGTGCCCGCACATCCACCTCAACATCCTCATTTCTGCTACTTTTATCTTTTGGATATGTGAGTTCTTAACATGCCAACACTCAGCCCCATACATCATGGCCGGTCTAACCACCGCTTTATAGAACTTACCTTTAAGTATCGTTGGCACTCTCTTGCCACACAAGACTCCAGAGCTAACCTCCACTTTATTCATCCAACCCCAATACGGTGTGTGACATCCTCGTCGATCTCCCCTCCCCCGTAGATAATCGAACCAAGGTATTTGAAGCTGCCTCTACTTGGGATAACTTGTGACTCAAGCCTCACATCCACGTCCACTTCCCTCGACTCAGCGCTGAACTTACACTCGAGGTATTCCGTCTTCGTTCTGCTTAACTTGAAACCCTTAGACTCAACAGTCTGTCTCCAAACTTCCAATCTCTCGTTAACACCAGCTCATGACTCATCAATCAGAACTATGTGATCGGCGAATAACATGCACCATGACACCTCCCCTTGAATATGGTTTGTTATCGCATCCATCACCAGGGCAAATAAGAACGGACTGAGCGCAGAGCCTTGGTGTAACCCCATTTCAACCAGAAAATGCTCAGAGTCGCCTCTTACTATCCTAACCCGAGTCTTAGCCCCATCATACATGTCCTTAATTTCCATAATATAAGGAACTGACACACCTTTTGCCTCCAAGCATCTCCAGAGAACTTCTCTAGGAACCTTGTCATACGCTTTCTCTAGGTCAATAGATACCATGTGCAGATCCTTCTTTCTCTCTGTATGTATACAGTTCCACCAACCTCCTAACAAGGTGTATAGCTTCTGTGGTGGAGCGACCCGGCATGAACCCGAACTGGTTGTCGGATACAGACATTGTCTTTCTCACCTTCGCTTCAACCACTCTCTCACATACTTTCATGGTATGACTCAGTAATTTGATACCTCTATAGTTGTTACAACTATGGATATCACCTTGTTCTTATACAATGGAACCACCGTACTCCACCTCCACTCATCTGGCATCCTCTTCGCCTTAAAAATAACATTAAACAACCCAGTCAACCACTCCACACCTGCTCTCCCTACACACTTCCAAAATTCCACCAAAATCTCGTATAGCCCGATCGCTCTGCCCCTACTCATCTTACACACTTCCATAGCATGTACATTTTCAAATATATGCTTATATATAGAGAGAGAAAATATTGAAGTTTTTCGGAGTAACGCTCTAAAGTAAGATATAGTGTTGGCTCGAAATAATTTAAGGTAAAAATTTATTCACAATCACAAATGATAATTACTAAATTGAGTTGAAAAATATGATATAGCGGTGGTGATATATTGTGCATTCATTTGATTGATGTAAACATTGAATTTAGATAAAAATAAAAAAATTATATTAATTATTATTAGTGAGTAACGTTACAAATTATATATTTAGGTAATGAAGATTATTTCAGGGGTAAATCTAAATTATGGCGTAATTTTCATAAATTATAATATTGCATATTAATTCATTAAATTGATCATGCATTAATCATTGATTCAAATTCATATTTCTACATATTCAACTTTCAATGTTGCCCCCTTCCCCCAACACCCCAACACACACACTAGAACGAGATGTAACTTTACAATCCTAATAAGCGTAAAACAAATGTAGTGTTACGCAACGCTTTCCTGATGTTTTTTGGAAGGGCAACATAAGGCTAAGCAACCGATGTCAGTGCGGTTGTTGTCCGCCAATGAGGTCCCCTCCGCACGCTAGACTAGATTGTCAGTGCCGTGCGGGAAAACCAATGTCACGAGCAATTGCGGAAGCTGAGAGAGAATTGGGTTTTGAATTATGATGATGATTTTATTGATGACTGAAATGCTGATTACAAAAGATGTGGTGTCGAGGGGGAGAGACACCAAAAAAATGCTTGCTTGAAAATGTTTGATTGTTTGGTCCCTCTTAATAATGCTTAAAAAAAATAAACCAACATTACATGACTAGTCCTAATAAAGTTGTAGAAGTACACTGAAATGGAAATGATGTAAACTAGCCTATAATTACAATGAAAAGGACTTAGTTTATTACAAGGTAGAACTAAGTCCGATTGCAGCAACTTTGTCTTGCGGGTCAGGGTCTGGCGCGCGTTGCTGTGGGCGCGCGCGACACTTGCTGTGTTGGCCTGAGGCTGAGCACTGGTGCTTGGCATCAGGGTCTGTGCACGAGGCGCTGCTGGAATGGGCCTGCACCTGGGCGCTGGCGAGGCATCAGGATATGCGCGCGCGACATTGTCAGGGCGCGCAACGCTATTGTCATTGGCCAGCCCTTGGGCGCTGGCGAGAGGCATCGCTGGGGTGACAGAGGCGCATGCGCGCTTGTCACTTGGCGCAGCCAAGACCACGGGGCCGACCATGGCGCTAGGCATTGTGAGGTTTGCTAGGCCGCCATGGGGCGCGGCCAAGGGGTCATGGGGCATGTCTGGAAAGCAGCCCATGACATTCTCCCCCACCTGAGTTGGAGCCGTCCTCGAATGCTTATGATGATGATGATGATG